GCAGGAATGTCTGCCACTCACTGGCAGCAGCAGGGGGGATCTGAGCACCATGGTCCTACCCCACTCTGCTCCCGTGGCACCTGGCCGTATTGCTTGGGGCAGAGGGAAGAACTCTCTTGTGGGAGAGCAGAGCAGGCTGGGATAGTGTCACTCTACTCCCCCCACCCCAGAGTGCAGGGATGGGGTGATCCCTGTTGCTGGTGCCAGACCCCAGATCCCACTAAGTCCCTGGACTGCATTGCTGGGGGGGGTGTGACTTGGGGGAAGAGGCAGTGCAGGGAAGAGATGGGGCAGGAGTTGAGCAGGGGCAGAGCAGGGGTGGGGTGGGGCCTGGGACAGAGGAGGGATTGGCTCCGGCTGTCACCTAAGCTCGGGATAATGTGGGGAGGAGCACATGGGGGGTGGACACATGGCTGGTGCCCCCCTCCCATGTGCCTTCTCTACAGTTGTCCCTAATCTACACTGCTCTGAGCCCAGAGATCCCAAGTCAGTTGGCATGAGCCAGGCGCAACTGTCTAATTGCAAGTAACATGATTAAGTCCTTTGCAGTCGGAATCGCCATTAACCAGATTTTCAGAAGAGCTCCATCCCCAGCAGTCACTGGGCTTTTCAGTGGGTGCAGGGTGGGAATTCTCCTTTGTTCCTGTACTGGAGGGAAGATGCTGTGTTGGAATGGCAAGCTATTGCTTTAAGGTTGCGAGGGGATGGGGATTTCCAGGTCAAGACTGCAGTGAGGAGGCCTCTGTCGCAGAGCTTGTGAGCAGAATTGGGGCTTGTCTCTGAGGGTACGTCTAGACTACAGGGTTTTGTCGACGGGAGGTTTGTCGACAGATACTGTCGACAAAACTTCTGTCGACATAGAGCATCTAGACACATTCAGTTCTGTCGGCTTTGTCGACAAAACCCTGTAGTCTAGACGCAACCCTACAGGCAGTAACACCTTCTGTCGACAGAACTCTGTTGACAGAAGGCGTTATGCCTCGTAGAATGAGGTTTACCAGCGTCGACAAAACTGCTGAGTTCTGTCGATGTTATGTCGACAGAACTCAGCAGTATTGTAGACGCAGGTATAGTTTTGTCGACAAAAGTCCACTTTTGTCGACAAAACTCAGTAGTCTAGACACACCCTGAGACCAGTTACCCTGTGGCAGACCCAGGGAAGTGTGTGGGGGAAGAGGCAACATGGTTCCAGTAAAGGGAAATCATGCGCCATCAATCTAGTAGAATTATTTGAGAGGGTCACAGAAAGCCTTTGCCAAAGTTCTTCGCCAAAGGCTGTGTCTAGACTGGCCAGTTTTTCCACAAAATCATCTGCTTTTGCGGAAAAACTTGCCAGCTGTCTACACTGGCCGCTTGAATTTCCGCAAGAACACTGACGATCTCATGTAAGATTGTTAGTGTTCCTGCGGAAATACCATGCTGCTCCCGTTCGGGCAAAAGCCCCCCTCTCGCCAAAACTATCTCGCCAAACACCGCGGTATGGAGTATAATCTTAAATGGCTTTATTTTAAGCTTTTACAGTTGGCTGTCCAGCATCTTTGAAAGTTAGTCTGTCAAGAGCCTGATCGTGCTCCCACTGAATCAGTGGCACAACTTATTTACATCAGTGGCATGGGATCAGGTCCCAAAAGGCGTACACTACATCTCTGAAGCTTTATTTCAGTGATGGGTAACCTAAGACCAGGAGGCCAGATGTAACCCCTGGCTTCCCTGGATCCAGCCCTCGAGGTTCAGGGCTCCCCTGCAACATTGGGAAGCCTGCACTGGTACTCCAGCATGCCCCCACCCCACTGCGGGGCTAGACCACACAAATCTACTAGCCTGGGCCACCCAGGCTCTGATGCGCAAGGGGAATGTACAAAGTGTCTTTTGCCTTCTCAGCTGGGGGCCACAACAGCGAAGCTACGTCTATACAGCTTCTCTCTTCTGCAAAAGCCTATGCAAATGAAGCGTGGATTAGCATATCGCCGTGCTTCATTTGCATCATTAATTAGGAGCCGTTTTTGCATAAGAGGTTTTTGTGCAAAAACCCCCTCTTGTGCAAGAGCCGTTCTTCCTCATTTTCAGGAACAATGGCTCTTGTGCAAGAGGTGGGTTTTGCGTGAAAAGGCGCTGTGTAGACATACGCTAGGAGTCACTAACCCGGGAACACCTGTAGTACTGAGGAGGAAGTGGCTTTTTGCAATGCTTCTCCCCTTCTCCCTCATGCGGGGCTAGACCACACAAATCTACTAGCCTGGGCCACCCAGGCTCTGATGCGCAAGGGGAATGTACAAAGTGTCTTTTGCCTTCTCAGCTGGGGGCCACAACAGCGAAGCTACGTCTATACAGCTTCTCTCTTCTGCAAAAGCCTATGCAAATGAAGCGTGGATTAGCATATCGCCGTGCTTCATTTGCATCATTAATTAGGAGCCGTTTTTGCACAAGAGGTTTTTGCACAAAAAGGCGCCATCTACACAGTGACTTTTTGTGCAAACCCCCCTCTCTTGTGCAAGAGCCGTTCTTCCTCATTTTTTCAGGACGAATGGCTCTTGTGCAAGAGGGGGGGTTTGCGCAAAAAGGTGCTGTGTAGACAGTCCCTTTTTGCGTAAAAACGGTTTTCTTTCTCGCTTGTGTGTGGCCCCCAACAGATTTTTCTGTGGGTCAGTGGCCCCCAACCCAAAAAAGTTTCCCCACCCCTGCTCTACAGCAAAGGAAGCTGTCATAGGATTAGAGGGAAGGTCCTTCCATGGATCAGTAACTGATAAAGACAGGAAAGAAAGGGTAGGAATGAATGGTCTGTTTTCAGAATGGAGAGAGGTAGCTAGTGATGTCCTGCAGGGGTCCATACCTGGCCAATCCTTTTCAACCTATTCATAAATGATCTGGAAAAGGGGTAAACACAGAGACCTGGCCCATGGCTGGATCTGGCCGGGGGGCTGTAGATTCCCCACTTCACCCACAGCCTTTCCGTGTGCCGCTTCACTCCCAGGGCTGGCTTCACAGCTACTCAGACATTTTGGTTTCTTTATTTAAGTCAGGTGTGGGAAGCCTCAGGCCTGGAGGCAGAATCCGGCCCCTGAAGCTCAGGACCCCCGCACACTGGCACTCCATTCTCCCCCCCCACACACACACACCTCCTGCAGGGCTGAAACACACAAAATGTTGGTTCTGGTGCGGGAGGGGAATGTGGGGAGAGTCTTTTTCCTTCTCAGTCAGGGGCCACATCAGCGAGGGTTCGTGTTTTGTTTGTTTTTTGCTTCTCACTTGCGTGCGGCCTCTGACTGATTTTTTTTTTCCTGTGGGTCAGTGGCCCCCAACTCAAAAAAGGTTCCCCACCCCTGATTTAAATCCATTGCAGACTGTGAAGAGTTATAAAGGGCTCTCACAAAACTGGCAACAAAATATCAGATGAAATTCAATGTTGCTGCATGTAAGGTAATGCACATTGGAAACCATAATCCCAGCAAAAGCAAGCTATTCCGATGTGTGGGAAAGATAGAAAATATGGCAAAAGACCTCCTTGGCTTAACCACGAGATCTTGCATGATCTAAAAATGAAAAAGGAGTCATATAAAAAATGGAAAATAGGACAAATTACAAAGGATGAATATAGGCAAACAGCACAGGAGGAAAGATAGAAAATATGGCAAAAGACCTCCTTGGCTTAACCACGAGATCTTGCATGATCTAAAAATGAAAAAGGAGTCATATAAAAAATGGAAAATAGGACAAATTACAAAGGATGAATATAGGCAAACAGCACAGGAATGCAGGGGCAAGGTTAGAAAGGCAAAGGCACAGAATGACCTCAAACTAGCTATAGGAATAAAAGGAAACAAGAAGACGTTTTATAAATACATTAGAAGCAATAGGAAGACCAAGGAGAGGGTAGGCCCACAGGTCAGTGAGGAGGGAGAAAGAGTAACAGGAAACTT